CTGCTGGATCTCTGTTTTGCTCCCTCCTGTATTTTCTGCGTCTCGTTTCTCAGTGTGGTCTGGTTTATGGGCTTGTAAGGATTAGAGGGCCCATCACTCAGGTTACATTGATCACAGCTGTGGGAACTAAATGGGCAGTAGAAGCAGGAAACACCATGACAGATTAGCTGTATACTAGGTGTGTGTGTGTGTGTGTGTGTGTGTGTGTGTGTGTGTGTGTGTGTGTGTGTGTGTGTGTGTGTGTGTGTGTGTGTGTGCATTCTTATTTATGTGAGTGTCAATGTAGGGGTATCAACCTCACTGCCATCATAAACTATTAAAGGAAGGAAGTCATAGCATGTCAACAGTTAACAGTGTAACAGAGTAGGTGCAAAGACCTTGTTAGTGTCACTGGTGAAGCTTAAACTGGCCCGTGGAGCTGCATGATGGGAAGTGGCATCTGCTGCCCTCTGAAACTCCTCATATTTAGTGACTCAGAAATGAAGTGCTGGTGTAGCACAGACAGGAGCTTTTACGATACTTCCTGTGAAATTTCAACAACGTGGAGCTGCACTCCCAGAATGAAGGAAAAGTTAATATAATGTGTAGGAATTTAAGTACAACACAATGTGAGTTTGTACAAACACCACAAGACCTTTTTGCCATCCAAACAGAAACTTGTGACTGTTTTTTTATTAGAACAAGACGAGGATTAACATGTGTCTTGTTGTAACTATGCAATGTGTAAATACAGTTTATATGTTTGATGTTTCCTAAGTTTTAAGCTACCCGGAGACAGAGGGGTCGCATGTCTACTCTGCTGGCGGTATGCAATTGCAACAATATTGGGAATAAATAAGCATGTTCATAGCATGTTTTTGTGTGTTAGAGCGCTGAAATCAATTCAAGAGATTTATTTCAGATAGTGGTCGTGTTTTGTTTTTTCCACTCCATTTTTCCTTCTTTGATGAACAGGACCCCTCTCAGATGATAAAAAGAAAAATGGTATGATCCTTCATATTTAGAGTCGGAACGTGCAGACATGAATTAAAATTTGCCTCCACAGGACGCAAATGCCTGAGTTCCCTTTTTACTCTAACTTTGTTGTACTACATATGTGTCTGCTATATAACCACATACATGATGGTGGGACTTCACAAACCAGTGTCTAGTCCTATGTATTTTTCATGTATTGATTAAGCTCATGAGAATACATCAGTTTGTTGGAAGACGTAATTACACGCTACTCAATGTAAATTTATGTGTACAACATTCTTTTTTTTCTATTAAATAAATAAAAAACAAACGACTGACTGTACCTTTAAGCTTGGAGACAAAAGAAATATGTGTCACAAAAGTACACCGGCTGTAGAAGGGAAACTTTATTTGATTTTAAATATTCTAACCATGTTATTTTAATAGGAAGGTTAAGAATGCACATTATGAGAGCAACATGAATGAAGCTTCTCCTGACCTCAGATGGCTCCAGTGCACCGGTGGTCCACTTCGCTTGCGCTGCTTTGATAACTACAGACCACCATCATGCCGTCACATTATTTGTAGTCCAGTAGCTGAACTGAAGTGACCTACTACTAACTCATTCAGCTCAAAAATATATTGGGGGGGTGTAGCAGTGGATCAGGAGTTCAAAGTGCGAGAGGCCTGGCTTTATCTTCCCTTCTTTGCAGATCATATTTTTCTTATTTTGAGGCTTTGTGAGAATTACAACCGACTGCACCGTTTGATCAGGATCAAGACACACATGACCTTGTTTAACCTGTGAAAAATCTGCCTTCAAAGTAAAAAAATAATGGATAAAAACTTTTAACTGCTTGACAAAGATTTGATAATTTATATAAAAAGCAAATTTTGAACTAGTTCTAATTATTGTTATTAAATGGATAATCTCGCAGCACTTCTCTTAGATGCTGCTAGAACTAGTTTTTGGAGTCAGTATCGTACAGTTACATACCTTTGTAACTGGTATTTCCTTTGACTTTGTCTCAAACAGGTGTTCCAGTTTGGCTGTGTCCAACTTCACCGGTTCCAGTTTGGACCAGAATGACTCTCCACTCCTCTTGTAGTCCCTGTACTGACAGTCTGTCGGACGCACCTGATCACAAACAAAACAAGCATGAGTGCATCAGATGGAGACATGTGTCAGACTCCCACTTCCTACAATAAAAGAGGTAAATGAGAGACTCTGAACTCAACGAACCACAAATACCAGCGGCCAAAGGAACATGTTGAGTGAGTCATTGTTTCTGGTGACTGTTTCATCTTAACTGGCTAATGGAAACATGCAGTTTAAAAAAAAAAATCAACTTGGTATTTTGGCCCATAGCATCTTCGGCAATAGAGAATACGGACGTAGTCGAATAAATCTTAAATACTTATATTGTTTAGGCCCTCGAGCAGTATTAAAAATCACCACTGAAAGTGATTATACTTCACTGTTGCACAGACGGATCCAAGTTATAAATCTACCGTGCAAGAAATAGAAAACACTCGAAAGACTTCCAGACAAACTAACACATACTCTAGGACTGGACACCTCAGGTCCTGAATGCTCACAATGTGTAACACAGTAGGAATATATTTTTCAAAATGTAATAACAATGTCCTGTTGCCTGTATTTGATGTGTTATTGTCGGTTGAATAAGGGATTTAAATGATGTGCGAATTATAGCATACTATAATGCCATGCAAAAGTCTTCACCCGCCCCTCATTTCTATATATTTTGCTAGCAAATATATAGAAATAGGGAAATATGCACAGCAATTTGTTTCAACGTCAGCAAACACACTTGGAAATATAGTATAAAAAGGTAAAAAAAAAAGAGTAAGTACAATTATAACAAGCTTCAAAGTCCGTATTCAGTACGACCACCTTTATTCTGCCTGAACACTTTTAGGTAAACTTTCCTGTATTTTCCTTTCAGGCTTCAGGAATAGTTCTCTGGGCTTCTTAAAGGACTTTCAAAGCTCTTCTTTGGATATTGACTGTCTTTTATCCTGTTCTCTGTCAGGATGATTCCACGCTGCCTCGATAATGTTGAGGTCTGAGCTCTGGGGAGTCCAATCCATGACTGATTGTTCCATTGTGTGTTTTCCTATCCAGGTATGCTTTTGCTGCACTGACAGTGTGTTTTAGACACGCTGTAAAATGAAGCCAATCAGATGCTTTCCAGGTGGTATTTTATTACACTGTATCTGTTAGTACTTTTCTGCATTCATAATTCCATCATTTCGGACAAGATGCCCACTCAACACTACTGACTGAAACACAGCCTAAACCATAACAGTAGACAGTCACTGCTGCATCTCTCTCCTGACCTCCTCTCTCTCCTGTGTACACGTTGATTAAGCTTTGAAGCAAAATTTATTTTAATCACTCCGTAAGATCTGTTGCCACCAATTTTCCATCCAGTTCTTGTGTAATTTGACTCCCCTCAGCCATTTCTCCATCGTTCCCTTCCTTAAGAATGTCTTGTTCACAGCATTTCTGATGAGGTGATTTGTGCCTCCAACTGGAATTAAAACACCATCTTTCACTGCCAGTTACAAGGGCTGATCTGAAGGTGGTTCTTAAAGCAGCCAATGTCCAAAGAAAAACTCAAGACATTTCCACGGTACTTTTTCTCAATGTTTTACACACCATCCCAACAAAACTTTATCAATACAGCAATGAAATTATAATGTGAGTGTTTTTTTCTCACCTCACTCCAGAAGAGTCTGATTGTCTTCTTCTTTTTGTTAAAGAGAGGCGGCTCTGGGGGAGGAGGCACTGGAATTAGGGCGTTAAATGAAGGAGGAGGTGGAGGCCTCATGCTGCCAAATAAGGGTGGTGGCGGAGGGCAACTGCCCAACATGGGTGGGGGTGGAGGGAAGCGGGGGATGCAGGGTGGAGGCGGGGGCAGGGGCGGGAGCTCGCCGCAGCCCCCCATCAAAACGGCATCGAGGATGTCCTTGTCGTCTTCCTCTGTCAGGTCGGTGAAGTTGATGTCCCCGATGCGCAGCTCTCGAGGGCTGGCCAGCAGCTGGTCCCAGATCGTGTCCGATTCCTTTTTGGGCGGGGGAGGAGGGGGCTCGTTGGCTGGGCTGTCCGAATGAGCGTGAGTCGTGCTGATGTCCTTGATCAAGTCTCCGAACCGCTCGGCGATCGGTCGGATGCTGCCGCGATGGTCCGACTTCTCGTCCCTGCTGTTCTTCTCTTGGTCTTCCCCAGGTTGCCTGTTTGCATCCTGCTGAGCCTCTTTGTCCTCCCCTTCCCCTTCCTCCTTCTCCTTGTCCACATCTTCCTCTTCCTCCTCATCGCTGGGCTTCTTGTTCTGGGAGTACAGCATGTCGAGCATAAAGAGTTTGCTGTTGAGGAGTTTGTTGCAGTTCTCATTCACCTCTGCCTCCTTAAAGCCTGGAAAGAGGGCGATGTGGTTAAAGACGGAAAGGAACAAAACGCACACTGCAGCTCAGTGACTTTCTAGTTTCATTAGAGTGAAATGAATCATAAATGCAGGTTCTTGAAACCAAATCTAAATCATAAAAATTTATTAATTTCCACTTTTTCCTTTTAAAACCCACCGCTCTCATTGCTGCCCCTCTCCTCTCTTTCCAGAGTGCTGCTGGCGGAGGAGATGCTGGAGGCTGAGCAGTTGTCCTTTTCATTTACTTCCTCATTCTGCCGTTCCTTGTCGCTCAGGATGCCACTGTCCTCCTCTGCCTCCTCTCTCTCCTTCTCTGGTTCCTCTGCCTGTTCCTCAACTTCTTCCTCTTCCCTTTCTGCTGTCACTTCCTCCTCTATTTCCACATCTTTCCGTCCTTCCTCTTCCTCCTCCTCAGCAGTGGCTTCTGCCTCTTTCTCCTCTGCGTCTACGCTGGCACTAAAGTTGTTGGCTTCTTCTGTCACAAAAACATCAGAGTTATTTACAGAGTTATTTACCTCCTCTCATGTTTTTTTACAACTTCCATTGAAGTTCAGTCACACAGAAACATACTGTATGGCTCTACATGTGACATATCTATGACAAAATACTGTTTGAAAGATGTATTTTAAAGGCACCTCTGTTGCTCGTGACAAGAAAAGCAAAAACACAGAATGTAAATAATACAGCACATACACAAAGCCAGGCTGTGGCAGGACCAGGATATGAGCAGGAAATGAAGAATTAAGTTCCTGTTTACACCGAAACACACACGTGTACACGGTAGACACCCATAACTCAACAGCACAGTCCACGCACTGAGACCGGCAGGGTTAGAATAACACGGCAGCGCGAGGCCTCAAACACCAGCCTGTGTGAGCGACACAACTTCAGTTTGTGGCTTTGCGTGCACTCCCAAAACGAGGCTGTTTTCTTCCATGGATGTTTTGGCACGGCACATTCAAAAACGTCTTTCAAAAGTTCATTTCACCCCTTCACCTATATCCCCTCACTCTTTTCCAAAAGTATCCTCTCCTCTTACTACTTTCCACAATCTGTCTGCCTCTTGCTGCTTCTTTTCCCTCGCGTCTGTATGTTAATTTAAATGGTGAGCTGCAAAGTAAAAACCATGCAAGTTTGAGAATAAGTGCCGTAGGCCCCTCAGATAGGAACTGAACAGGACATCCTGTGTTTTTAACTATTAGTTTTCAAAGTATTTGCCAGCAGCACTGGACACCTTTCACACATCATTGCAACCGTCTGTACACACAGTCTATGGTTACAGGTAACATTAAAACTGTTACTAACCTTAAAATAAATCCATATTAATCTTGGCAACTGTCTGACAAGCACCACGCAGACACAAGAAACTAGCTTTTTAGTTAGAACTGAATCAGGTGACCACAAAACCTTCTTTAGTTACACTGCAATGGGCCTAGGCTGCGTTGGACTTCCCATGATGCACTGGGTGTTTCTACTTCACTCATTTTTTCCCTCTGTGTTTATACACCATTATGCATTTAATCATTAGTTATTATTAATATTTGCCTCTCTTCCACAGCGTGATTTCTGTGGAAGTGGACCCTCCCCTCGGGAACAGCTAGTCATGACAGATGGCTTCCTGCTAAAAAGTAGTTTTTCCCTCCCACTGTCGCCAAAGTGCTTGTTCACAGGGGGTTGTCTCATTGTTCGTTTTTTTTTCTGTATCGTTTTAAGGTCTTTCCTTTACAATATAAAGCAGCTCTAGGCAATAAAATGAACTGAATTGAAGGCCGTTTTTTTTCTCTTTTGGTACGTTGCACTCGGTACTGAGAAGCGGATGCTCCCAACCAGTGTTGGTCAAGTTACTTGAAAAAAGTAATCAGTAACTAATTACTGATTACTTCCCCCAAAAAGTAATCCAGTTACTTTACTGATTACTTATTTTCAAAAGTAATTAATTACTTAGTTACTTTTTAAAAACACGATTTACAACCTGAAGAGGTGATAAAGCGATAGATCTTTCAGCCCAATTCTACTTTTTCTGCATAATCCATCATACAAAATGTAATCAAATGGAAAAGTATCTTTTTTTTAACTTGTTTTATCAGTTTTAATCTTTTAACTTTATGCATCAAGCAAAAATTTAATTATATGCAACAGTCTCTGACTTGAATAAATTTGTTTAATATTTAAAGCTATTTTCTGCACATTCCAGCACATAAAATAAAATATTTTTTGTGTTTACACTCACTCTTTCGAATAGATGCAAGTAAAACACAGCAGAAAATAAATAAAGTCAAAGACTCAGCGGTCCTTTTGCTCTATTTTCACCTGTAAAGCAGGACTGGGGTAGGCGGAGGTTTACCCTGGTGCAGGTGTGCTGCGGTCAGTTGAAGAATCCGCGGGTTTCTCTGTGAGTTTCCCGTTTTTTTCGCTGTAAAAAGAAGTTTTCTTCCCACGCACGATGGATGCTAATGTTTTTGTCACTTTTTATGGAATCAAACTCAAAGTAAGGTCAGTACTTCCACGCAGCGTTCCTACAGGAAAGTAACGGTAATCTAATTACCGTTTTTGCAATAGTAATCCCTTACTTTACTCGTTACTTGAAAAAAGTAATCAGATGCCCATCTCTGCTCCCAATCTTGATTCCGTTAACGCCTAAAACTTTACATGTATCATAGTAGATCCATGTTGCCTTTGCATGCACTAAGGAGCTGTAACTCAATTTATGTTTGAAATCTTGCAGAAAGCAATGGCATTTTCAATTCAGTTTTATTGATATAGCGCAAAATCACAACAACAGTTGCCCCAAGGTGCATTATATAGTAAGGTAAAGACTGTAAAATAGTAGGTAGGTATGAACCTAAACATTGCTCTGATATTGTTGTGTGCAGGATCCATACCAGTCTGCAGTAGCAGTAATATTTTAGAATACATATCGGTGCCAACTGGCCACAGTTTTGTAACAAGAGACGATTATATCTCCTAATAATCGATCATCCACGTCCTCATTGACAGATCAATGCATCGAACATGGTTCTCAGCAATCCTACCAGTCTCAGGTGGAGTGCAGGGAACGGCAGTTGGGGTCTCTGCTTCAAGCTCAGCCTCTGCGTCCTCCTGGGAGGCGAAGGAAGACGGCGTGCTGCTGCGTGATGATGACGGAGGCCAGGCTTCCGAGGGTTCAAAGTTCAGGTCGACGGCAGGTTGATTCCTCGACACCCTGACGCGCTCCCTCTCATACTCTTCCGCCGCCAGACGTTCCACGTTCTTATACCTGAAAGAGGAAGAGAGGAAAAGGATGGATGTAAAAAACAAGAAAAAAACAGAGAGAGCTTTAGACAATGTCTGTCTCGGCTCTCACAGCAGCGCCATTCTCAGTGTTAGTCTATGCCAAATCACCCCAAACTAAACCACTTGTCACTGCTCTCTGCCAAAGTACCTGAGTTCATTAAAAAAATACAAAAAAACCCCAAACTCCCACCCGGCCTTTTTTCCCCTCTGCAGCTGCCATGCCACTTTACCTCTTCAGAATCTAATCCCACCTCTCTCCTCTACCTCGCCCCATTAATCGTTCACAAAGCGTTCGGTGCGTTCATCACTCATTTCCTGCAGCACAAGGGTTCACTGTCTTGCTCCCCACTAGCCTCTTGTCCTCTCTATCCAAATGCTCAGCTTTCAGCAGCAGTTGAAACATGCAGCAACAGGGAGGTTAAAGAAGAGGAGGAGGAGGAGGGAGTGCAAGGAGAAGGACAGGAGAGAAGAATGAGAGAGATGCGGAGAAGTTAATGTTAGTTTGGCTGCTCTAAAGGCTAAACATCAGAAGTGAATCAGAGTAAACCTGTTCAACATGTGCCTCCATCAGCTCTGCTCTCAGGTCCATTTCCCCTCCCTCTCTCTCTCCTCTTCTCCTCTTCCTCCCTTTCTCCTCCTACCAAATGTTGCCATTCAACCAGCGAGCCAGATTGGAGATTTATGGGCATTGATTCAACCTTCTCTCTTTCTCTCTCTCTCTTTTTAACTCCTCCTCTTTCCCACCGAACCACGAATGTGTGGAGCTTCTGTTCAGGGTTCATTAGCATCAGTCCACTTCAGAGGTCTGAAGAAAGAAGATACTAGCATGTGTTGGTTTGCATTTGCACGCTGGAGTGAGTGAGCTGAATGTACACGAGGTGCCCGAACCAACAGGCAAACTCATAAAAGCTCCAGCTGTTTATGCCAACAAATCACTTTTAAATAAACTGTATCCATCTTTAAAGGGGGACCTGCTCATTTCCAACTCTGGGCCTTTACTGGAGCAGATTTACACGACAATTAGTTTAAAATAATCCTTATGTTATGCTGGGCCACGTTGAAGCCCCACAGTACATCGTCTGTCTGGAAAAAGCTGTTGTAGCTTTTTTAAACCATTCTTTTCTACTGATTGGCTGCCCCTCACAGCTCAAAGACTTAACAGCAGGTGGGTGGGCCTTTTACTTACACCCAGAGCTGTGCACCTGACATGACCATATTAGGGATATCTGTGCTCCCCAATATAAAGACATAGAAAACAAAAACAGAATGTGAGCATTTAGAGCGCTTGAAGCCTGAGCTTGTTTAGAAAAGCACTTAGCCTAACTCTATAATAACTCACACACGCATTGTTCTTGTTCCCTATGTTATCTGATTTGTCTGCAGTCATCTATGACTATCACCTGTATTATTTAAACGGTGTTTCTGTCAAAAAATATATTCTCTAAAAAACGTACGCACAAGAGCTTAAAGTGCTCTTTAACAAAGTTTTTTGTTATCAGTGCTATAGCTAATCATAATGCGATCATGTTTAACTTTTGTATTTTAGCTACCAAACTAATTTTTTCTTTGTTTTGATGTTAAAATGTTGCCGATGTTTTAATTTCTATTTAAAAAAAAACAAAAAACAGTCCAAACATAATATGTGCAAGAAATTTATTTAAAGATGGTCTACTCGACTAAGTTGTGCTTTCCAGGTGTGTGTTTATGTTGCATTTTTTTTTATTCTGCCAGTTTTCATCATGTTTTAGAAAAATAAAGACATAATGTTTCTACAGCCAGTTTTGGCAACAGGGAATCGGATCACCAGAGCCTCCACTTCTGACCTCCACACAATCCACTATGCACCGGACCCCTGCAGCCCTTCCTGCATGTGGTTGTGCCCACAGGAAGGTGGGCCCATGTTGGTCTTTCAGGCTGCACCAGGCCTCAGTCACTGGGTGGTCTCCCTCGAGCAACTCACACACCCACCCATCCTTAAACCCTCTAATCAGTATACAGGGTGGGCCATTTATATGGATACACCGTAATAACATGGGAATGGTTGGTGATACCATTCAAGTTACGTTGAAACCAAGCACACCATTGTTTTTCTTGTGACATTACCAATGAGTTTGATGTGTCACATGGCCCTCTTCCTATTGAAAAAACAAAAGTTGTATCCAAGATGGCCGACTTCTAAATGGCCACCATGGTCACCACCCATCTTGAGGAGTTTGCCCCCTCACATATACTAATGTGCCACAAACAGGACTTTAATATCACCAACCATTCCCATCTTATTACGGTGTATCCATATAAATGGCCCACCCTGTACATTAAGAAAATGCTAGCAAAAGAAAAAAGAATGAAAAAAAGAAAAAATTCAAAAGGATGTTTTTATTTTTATGGTGTTTTTATGAAATAAACGTAGTTAAATACAGGCTTATTTGTTTGTCCAGAAGCAGGTGTAATAGTATAATTATTTTAACCATTTCGCTCTATTCACTCATTTTAATTGCATCAATTTGATGTAAACTGACTCTTTTAGATGAGCTGAGGTATGTTGTTGTTGCTGTTTGTTGTCTGTTATTAAAGCCATTGGATTTTATGCACGTCCTTCGTGACCAGGTGTTCCAGTGCTGTTTGGCAGCTAAACGCTAAGCTGGGGAATTTAAAAAAAAAAGGTCATGTATTTTCTGATAACCATGACACCGTAAATAAATCAGAGTGAAGTCGTGGATAAATCTCCCACATGTTCACTCAGCAGCTCATCTGCAGCTCTGGCTTCTGTCCGTCTCTGCCTTATTTCTTCTGTTCATAGTTGAATCCAACCTTTACCTTTTTTTTTTTCGCTCTGTCTTATTGACTCTGTGTGCTATTGCATTAACTGAGCTTTAAATGGAGGGTGAAACAAGCCTGGGGTAAAAAGAAAAGCAATAGTGCTCGGCACACACTCTCAGAGAGTGGAGAAGATGAAGAAGAACAATAAGAAGGCGCAAATGTCAATGATGACCAGCGTAGAGGATATGGCATTTACCCAGTTGTCATCAGCCCTTATTGATATATATGATCGTGACCTCCTTAACCCTTCTGAGTAAATCTCTTTCTTCCTGTGATTCCCATCTGCACACAAACACAGATTTATTAGCCTCATGAAAATTCTTCTGGTGTGTGTGTGTGTTTGTGGCCGTGCACGTCCATTCATTGTGAGAGGCTTGACAAATCCAGGAACCTGATTTTCTCACAGCACACAGCCAAAACAATCAGGCCCTTGGCAGAGAGCCGCAGTTAAAATACAGCTTCTTAAAGAAACGAAAGGCGGACGGAGCAAAGAAAATCAGCTCAGTACTCCCCCCACCCGTCCAGCCTCTGGCAGGCAATGGTCACCTTTTAACCTGCGAACAATTACGCTATTACCGAGCTTCCCAAACCAGCGGCTCAAACATAATCCCAACTGATTCAGCGGCTCTGTGCTGTTTTGATTTAGTGTACACACACACTCACCTCTCCTCCCGCGCGAGCCGGGCCTCTTCCATTTTATCCACATAGCCGCGGCTGTGAGAGGAACAACAAACTGTTTCAAAAGGTAGCAATCATATCACGCACACTGTGCTCTGTAGATCTGTCTAACAAGTTTAACCCACAGTCCCACACCTTTGTCTTATGTATGATATGATCTATTCTTGTCAGACTGTTGAGTAATTTAGGAAATTAGGTCAACACACACACACACACACACACACACACACATATATATGTTTTCGGTGTTTGGAAACATAATTACTCATTCTACAAACTAAAACGGCTTTTATTCATTTATTGTTCTCACATAAAGCATTTTATGACCAAAGATGCCTCACCTGTGCTTGTTCCTCTCCTCTCTTTCTATTTTCTGTAGCCTCTCTTCTCTCTCCACACGGCGGCGCTCTCGCTCAGCTGCCAAAGATTCTTGGTGCTGGCGGTAGGACGAGGACAGAAGGCCTCCCAGAGCAGGTCTGAAGGAGCAGAGACAGAGTGAGGAAAAGGAGGTTTCCTTCATTTATTGATTTTTATTTCTCTATTCCCTGTCATCCTGATTTCTGCAGCAGAGTTTTAATCTGCTGCTCTCTTCTGATAAAGCAGCCATAACACAACATATGCCCCTTACATAAGACCAGCCTCTATGTGTTTAGGTTTACTAAAATCTGGAACCAACTAGCTTAGATCACATTCACTTTAGTATGTCATCGGCACGAAAACACGGTGGGGCCGCACATGCTCCGTATTTTTTACACATGTGAGTCTGTCCGTGAAGGAGGTTCACACACATGACTCTGTTCCTGTGTGTGAACCTGTTTACAGTCTGGCGGTGCGTAGTTTAAGGATGTTTCCACACCTCATGTTCTTGCTGTGGCTTCTCACCTTGAGCTGGTAGGTGTACTCGGGGTACTGAGAGAGGAGTAGGACGTCAGGGCTCCGTTCCTGAGGGAGAAAAACAGGGAGAGTGACCTCTCAGGGTTGCACAACACGGCATGGACTAACTGGCGAGTGCAAAACTCGTACCCAGAAATGAATGTGACCCTAATTGCTAACTGCTGTCGTGTTTATTCTATTATGCCCCTGGAAATTTTCAGGCAAGGCGTCTGTCCTCACTAAGAGTCCGCTAAAAAGACCTTTGGCCTTGTCAAGCTATTATGCCTGAGCAGACAAGAGCTTTCTTTTTTAAGCTTACGTTATATTATTTAAGGTTCTGTTGCTGCGTGTGCAATACAAAGCAAAAAAACATCTGATTCTTGTTATCTATAACTTGATGCATGTAATTCAACTTCTGATTGGGAACACTTGATTACTCATGCAGCGTTCTCATGACAAATTTGGTACAGATTAAGTGTGAATCTTTTGGAAATCTAGTTTTAACCACAAAGAGAGAAATCTAACAACTAATCTTTGCCTGACGGTAAAGTTGGACCGTGGAGAATATAAAGCTAAGGAAATGCAACGTTTCAGCAAAAAGCAAAGAGAGACTAGTGAGAAAGGGTTAAAGAAAAGCAAACAGTGGTTGTGCTGTTTTAGAAAAGAGGGGAAAGGAAATGCTACTGGGAGGCCAAGTGGGGATTGCACATTAAAAAAAAATTGCAGTGCATCGAGGTCGTGGAGGAACTAAGAAAAGACGTGAAGGAACGAAAAGTGACAATAAGAGTCGAGAAACTCAAGGTGAGATGCTGTGAGGTGAAAGAACTGAAAAGAAGGGAAGTGATGAATAACAAAAGAGATGCAAAGTGGCTCCAAACTGGTGCCTACACACACACACACACACAAAAAAAGCCAGAAGCAGAAGTGGAAACTGGCAAAGTAAAAAGCAGGACATCTGAAGAGAAGGAAAGCTTCTTGAATTCATTGGTGAGCTTTGCTGCCCATCTGACCTGGGAGTCGTTGGTTTGGGTGACTCCTCGCTTGGCTTTCCCAGAGCCGGGGGCGACGGCTCCTCGTCGAGATCGTACGAGAAGAGGTGGAAGGGCGAGTGGGGCAGGTAGGGCAGGCGGTCGGGGGAGGGGCGCGAGCTGCCACGCAACGGCGGGCTCACCTCCTTGGTAGCTGGCACAGTGACGATAGACTTTTTTCTGGCCAGCAGTGTGGCCAGGAGCGAGGGCTGTCCTGGAGGACTGTGAGCGCAGGACACAGTGGGAGAAAGGGTTGGGGTAGAGGGGGAGGAAATGCTGCTGGTGGTAGTTGTTGCTGAGATCGGTTCACTCCAATTCCTCTGCTCTGTCTCCTTTACAGACTCCTTTCTGGACGTGATGGTGATGGACTGAAGGGTTGTTCTTTGAACACTGGATGGAAGATGTCTAGCGGGGCTAGGAACAGAGGAATGGATCGAGAGGAATAAATGGGTAAAAGCAGAACTGAGCAGACCGGCAGGCAAATCTACAACAGACATGGGCCACCAGAGCAAACCAGCTGGACAGGCAGGGACTAAAGAGACATTCGAGACCTTTATGAAAGCATTATTTCATTGCTATGTTACCACTACGTCCTAAAATACCTGGAGGTGGTCTCATTAGCCCCCTCCTGCTCATCCGAATCAGACTCAGTCACAGGAGTCTCCTCTTCCTCTTCCTCCTTCTCCTCCTCAATGCTATCCTCCTCACATTCCTCCACTCTATCGAGGTGGATGGGTGGGGAGGTGGACGAATGAATACACAGACAGGTGGACGATTTGAGGTAAGGATAGGGGAGAGATGAAGTGATACATAAGCATGCAAATAGAAATCTCCACAGAAAAAAGAGTGTTGGAGCAAAGGGATGGAATGGCTGAGGGGTCATGTGTGCAGAAGATGTTTAAGGCTACACTAAAAAGTCACAGTTAAGACACTCAAGGAAAACAAACAAAGACAAGGCAAGACAAGAGAAAACACACAAGAAATGAAAAGGGGAGAGATGGCAGATGAATGTTTCTGATTATACACTTCATGCCTCCAGTTAGGTGGTTTTACATGCGCATGAACACAGAACATGATAACAAGGAAAGAGGGAAAGGAATGCTGAGAGGAGAAACCGGCTGGGGGATCGCTGTCACCAAACTGCTGCGCTGTTTTATAGTGAAACCAGATGAGTCCTGTTGCAGTCAAGTCCGTCCGCGCTGCCAGGTGTTGTTCCACAAGACCACAGCCATGTGTGTGTGACGAATGGGATGGTCAATAAAACTTGGGTTTGTTTTTCTTGTGTGCGTGCATAATACGAAGCAGGATGCGGTCCCGGACGTAAACAGCTTTCACCCACTGATTAGATTCATTCAAAAATAAATCACGGGATAAAAATGTATCTTTTACAGTACAGCTGACCGCGTTTGAACCCGTTTTTCAGGATTCACAGGTATGCTCAGGTGTGCACGATTTAGCTCTTAAACCCCATTGTTTGTCTACTAATGTGACAAAAGCAGATTACATTTAATCCTTCGTCTATTATTATATTCAAATCTAAAGAGGAGAAGAGGATCAATAGATGAAAGATTTGCCTTTAGTAAACAGTTAAAGTCCCATCCTGATCCCATTTTGTTGTGCTCTTACACACAGCGTTGAGAAAAGCCTGTGCTGGTTTAATATCGTGTTCGCCTCTATTAGAATTGCAAGCAAACCCCGAAGGCGTGCGCAGCTGCTGAAAACAATTATTTTTATTCCAGTGCAGCAGAAGTCTGCAGTGGGGTTTAGGTGCAGCAGGAAAACCCACGCTGTGAGTAGGGAGGACACATAGGTAGCTGTTACAGCAGGTCTGTGAGGAGCAGAGGCTCAGTGACGTTTGGACTTACATGGACTGAAGGTAACCTGACAGTGCTCTGGAGCAGAAAGCAGTAAAACAGTCAGAACTTCTCTGAAGAATGAGAACATATTAAAGAACTATCGCTTTTTTGTTTGCTTTGTCACCACACCTTTTGAGTAACCCTGCACCTAGATTTTAATAAGTGATACGCAACTGTTTTATTTTCCACCACCCTCACCTCTCGCTCACGTCCTCAGATCTGATTCCATTGAAAGGTTGGAAGCCGGCTCTCTGTGGGGACGCGGGGCTGCAGGGCGAGGCGTAACCGGATCGTCCAAGAGAAGCCCTGCGGCTCCGCCTCCTCTCCAGGCCATGTCTTTTGTCCCCGCCCCCAACACTGGCTCGCCTGCGGTCCCGGCGTACCATTGGTGGAGGCTGGCTGTCATCATCACCATCTTCATGCCGTAGGGTCGTCTGGGGAAAGACATGACAGGTTGTAAAGTGAGTGGTACTTAAAAAAAATGTTAGGGTTTAAATGAAGCAAAGTGGTCTGACCAAAATCTAAATCAAAAATTTGTAGATTTTTTGGTAAATGAAAAATGCTGGATCCTTTGGTCTAATGAGTGGAACTTGTTATCAACACACATTTCCAAAGTTAACATGCTGTGAGACTAAATTATGGCTTCTTATAGTTCTTGTTCTTCACTTTCTGTTTCATTTATTTATTTTTAGTTATCACCCGTGCCTTGTTTTTAGTTTTACTTCCCTCCCCTGCTTCCATGTCTAGATTGAGTGCAGCTGAGTCTTGTTACTGTTGTGTTTCCACTTCCCTGATTACCCTCGTGTATAAATAGCCCTGACATTCCCTTTACTCCTTGTCATAGCATCTGTTAACCTTCCATGCAGAGATGGGCAGTAACGCGTTACAACCTCTTCAGGTTGTAAATCGTGTTTTTAAAAAGTAACTAAGTAATTAATTACTTTTGAAAATAAGTAATCAGTAAAGTAACAGGATTACTTTTTTGGGGAAGTAATCAGTAATTAGTTACTGATTACTTTTTTCAAGTAACTTGACCAACACTGCTTCCATGTATACTACAGCCATCTCTACGAGTGTGTTCTTTGCTACTGAACTTACTCTTTAGGACTTTAGCATAAAACCAAAAATGTTTTTGTATTTGTTTATTCATTCTGCCTCCACGTCTGCATTTAGGTCCACTGTTCAACGCTGTGATTTTCAAACAATAACTGTGAAGGCACCATTATTGCTGGAGGATGTATTTCACTAGCTGGGCCCACGTCCTCATTTTAGGTTTGACAGCGTTTTAGTAGGTGAAAAAGCTTTGACATGAAGTGAGCTGCGGTTTGGGGAAGGCCTTGAAGGAGACTGGCGATGGCTCCCGGGCCTTGCAGATCCCCATGCACTAAGTAGAAATTAAAAAGTTAAAGAATTGAGAAAAAGGTGTCACGGTGCGCTGTGACAAACCGTGCGGTGTATGGTGGACCCAGGTGCGAACACAGGTGAGCAGACGGGAGTGAACTTTAAACAAAAGCGAGCCTTTTATTGTGGCTGATGGCAGGGTATACAAATACAGCAGGGATAGCGCGGCTAAACAGAAACCTAAACTGGGAATAACTAAGGCAAAGCTATGACTACAAATACAATAGACCGGGCATGGAAACATAGAGGGTGGAAACACAGACGACGCGACACAGACTACATGAAACACAGAGACTAAATACACAAGAGGGATGATCAGGGGAAGTGGCCACACATGGGAACACAGCTGACACAGATAAACATAACAAGACATGGCAGGAGTAAACAACACTGACGGGAGACTGTCAAAGTAAAACAGGAAGTACACAGGTGCAAGCAGGAGGAGAGAGAGAGCACGGGCATAGTGGGCTGGGGAAACATGGAATGAAACGAGGAGGGGAGATGAGGGCTCACAGATACACAGAGGGGCACACAGGGGGTAAAAGCCATGAAGGGAAAACACTTAGGGAACAACACAACAGGGCAACTCAGAAAACATGGCCTAAATAAGGAACAAAATACAAACATACATGAAAACTAAGACTACTGGGCCCACATGGCCCAGGACCATGACAAAAGGAGGGAGGGTGGGGCACGTAAATGAGAATGAACAGCTTGCAGAACTGGGGGAACCTATATAGATTTCAACCGGAAGGAGCGTGTTTGGAGGGGTGGTCCTACTCCTGAAATTCCGACACATAATCTCCAAAGAAAGTTTTATGAGCAGCATATGCTCCCATCCAGATGACACGTTTTTATACTTTTTTTTTTTTTCACAAGATAATGCCATCCTAAGCCTAAAAGAATGAGCATTAAGAAAAATGCCACCAATTTAAATAGACAAAAACTGGACTTTGATATAAAGTTTTGCACTATTTTCAGCTATTATGTTTGGTTTAAATGACTTACAAACCATAAGATTCTGTTTTTATTTTTATATTTTACATGGCACTCTGACCTTTATTTGGGCTATTAGTACAGCATTTACAAGCTGAAAAGGGATCAGTAATAACCCATTTTCAACCGCTTTTAATGTTTTGTTTGAGTGTCTCAGACCTCATATATATTAAGCTGCTCGACCAAGTCAAGATCGGTTCCTTTCCTCCCCAGATGTCTTTGGGAAACGGTCTCCATGCCCTGCTCCTCCAGACCATCCACCATATCATAAAATGAATCCTGGTCGGGCAGTGCTGCAAGAGTCTGTAAAAAGAAAGGAGACGTCGTCAAGATGTAACCAAGGTTTAAAACGCTTTGCACATTTAAACACTAATGACTAAAACACTGCTTTGATGCACATAATCATATATTTAAGTTTTTCATTTTGGGTTTTGAAGCTGCAGGACTAAAACTTCGCAATACAGTTTATATCTACATGCAAAATGATAAAACACAAAGTCAGTCAATCAACTGATCACTTACTGGAGAAAACAAAGATGCGTTTTCCATAAAACTGAAAATGTTTTATATCCACACAAGAAAGTACTCAGCAAAGCCATAAACTATAGCTTTGCAAACCTTATTGATGAGGGTCATTGCATAGACGAGAAGCTCCGTATCCACTCCATCCTTCTCATGCAAGATCTCCATAGCATTGGACCATGGCTTGCTGCCTAGAAGTCAGTCGATTAAATTCCATTACTTCAAAAATATTATCATGCAGACAAACTACAGTATCTTTCTACTTTAAGCCCTCAGCACATGGTGGCATGTTAAGCTTTTAGTACCTCTCTTCATGTCCACAGAGGTGATGGCTTGGATCAGCAGTGGCGCGTTGGATTCTGAGTACTCCACAAACACCAGCAACAGCTTCAAAGCTGTTTTCACCACCAAACGAAACTAGGGTGGAAATATAAAGAAACTTGCATAAAGTATGGACAACTGTGTTCCTATTGCTCTCTTCATCCACTCTAAACATTTAGAATTCACATGTTTAGCATTAGTGGCAACCAAAACATACGAGCAGATGCTATTTCATTATTTGTGTGTGTTGTGCTTGTAATAATCATGCTGCGGGGACATAATCTATTTATACAGTTATACTGTGAGCCTCTGTTTTAGGGATGCTGGTCTGGGGAAACTTCATAATATAAATTACATTTTACAGGATTTGGTTTAAAATTTAGGCAACGTGACATTTTGGTTAATTTTATTGTAACGGACATCATCAGGCAACTAGGAATTATGGTTTTGGTTTGGGTTAGGAAGGAATTTCATGAACTCGTTAACAAAGATGGCTGCAGATGCTGCAGAACCGTAGTTGTTCTGCTTATACTGCTTATATGATCCAGACCATGGACTCTCACATACCCATCTATGATAAAAATACAGCACTACCAAAAAATCTCAAGTAAGTAAATGCTGATCAACATACTCACTTTAGTACTGCGGCGCAATTTATCCCACCTAAGATAGTCTGATAGTATGCCAATGTCTAGGGCAAGACATGGGGCAATGTCTTGTTGGCGAGCAACTCCCTTTACTCATGGTGGGACCATCATCCTACGGGCCCGTAGTCTGCAGGAGGAGCAACAGGGGTCTAGCGCATTGTTTTGGGGAAATAATCGCAGGCCAAATTCCACTAGAACTGCCCTGGATGAAAGGGAGAGTGCAGGGTGGCTACGCCTACAGCCCTGTGGTTCATCTGCTGTGAACTAGAAGATCGCTTCAAGTCGAAGAAGGGGTTTTGAATGCTTTTACTCCAGCGTTCGACACGGAAGGCGCCTCCTCTGGAGATTTTATTGCTATATGTTCTCACGCTGGCGACAACAGTGAAACCTGGGGGGTGGTAGTGTAGGGAAAACAGTCCCAGCATGAGTGTCTTGGTGCCTAGTGCACGAGGACACCACAAAACCAACAGAAGCCGCCACCCACAGCTGGAAACACACAACACAATCATTAGGGTATGTGTTTGTGTGTGTTTCTTTGGATAAACGCTAAAAATAATGTTCTGCAAACAATGGCTGGTTAACCAACGTCAGGGTGGTGTGTGTGTGTGTCCTCTGAGTTTTTTAGGATGTATGCTTGACTTGATACCTTCGAGCCAACGAGAGTGTAGAGCCACTGGATTGTCTCAGGATGGCCAATGACGCCATTCATCCCGTCCACGTAGAGCATGATCTGCCCGAGAGCTGAGGAAGAAAGGAAAAGTCAGAAAAGTATACGGAAAGATGACTGAGAACTTGTAAAATAAAATAAAATAAGATGAAATAAATAAATAAAAAAGAACCAAAATGAATTAAATAACAGCAATAAAATCAGTTACAGTGACAGCAGTGATTCTGATTATGCTGAGAAAATCAGTCATGACAACGATGGCACCAACCATGACTAACAGCTCCATAGAAAACCTCTGAGTGACAAACATGACTTAATTCCATTACATTGCTCTTTTTGTATTGCCATCTTATAATAATATTCAGCAGAAATAATAATAGGGTTAAAAACTCTGTTTAAAGCACTCGAAATGCAGTTTTTCTGCATTTGTTTCTCATTTTTACAATTTTATTTTTCATGCATATCTTCTAAGTAACATGTCCAAATCAGTCGTGACATGCTGTCATGACCACATGTGCCTAGACTAGCTGAGAGACACAAAGGAAAAGCTGATGCTGAATGCAGGCTATTTCAAGAGAAGTGGAACTCTGAAAAGCCCACATCTCGACAGGGTAAGGAAAGAGCCTGTGTCTCCGTAATTATTGTCTTCACTTGGATGCTTCTGTCCACACGCCGGCAAAGATGTAGAGCCATAAAGACTGAGTGTTTGCTTTAAAAAGTCACTGAGCCACAGAGGCACACGACTACAGCACGGTAAATTTCTCAGAGGCCAGTCCTTTCACTGAGAACTACGGGCAAATTTTATTTTTATGTGCAGACAATTTCAGGCAATAGAATCATCAGATATCATTTGATCTTGTTTGTTAATTGTTATACAGGATTTCAAAACATGTTAAAATAAATGTCTGGCCCTTGATGTGAGTCCCATTTCACAGTGTTGCCCCAGAGAAAGATAGAATGACCCCCCTGATCTAAGCATGTAGTATATTATTGTTATTATTCTTAGCATATATCATTATGCAGCATGCAAGAGACCATACCTCTTAATATGTAGTTCTGGTAGTTTTGGTCAGCTTCTGCTCCCACCTTGATGAGACACGTCAGACCTTCAGCCATCACAAACTCATGGACCAGGTCTTTGTCATCCTGAAGGAAAATGAGCACAAATAGAGGAAGCACGGGATAACCAGAACCGAGCTCGTAATTTCGTGGATGCAGTTAATGCATTTTCTTGTGTTGCCACTTGATGTCAGTGATGTGGAGGTTTAAGATTTAAGTTGACACAACACAGATTTTCAAACCCTCCTCTGGGATCAGACCAGCTGGTATACACACTCACACTTGTCAGCAGAGATGGTTTTTTACAGTTTTCTGCTTTTTATGTGTCATTTCTTAAAGAAACAAAAACACCTTCATGTGCACCGTTAAAGCTCCAGGTTCAGGCATCCTCTGAGGAGAAGGTGGTAGGAAATAAGCATGGAGCTTGCATGGAGGGTTTTTTATGTAGTGTTTAGTTGCAAAAAAGGGCCACTTTTAATAGCTTGAATGCTGCACTTTTTTGAACAATCTGGAAGTTTGCACAGTGCTGCTCCGTTTGCTGAATCACTGTCTTTTTACATACGGAGTGCTTCTGTTCTGTTTGTGCTGCAGAGCTCTTCTTTTTTTTACAGTGGCTAACTCTTCTCCACTTAAAATAAAAGATTCCCACACAAATTTCAATGCAAACACACACACACACACGCGCACATGCACACACAAAGACAGAGAGAGAAACGCCACGTTGATGGAGATCCTGTCATCACAGAAGCACACAGTGGCCACAATAACCGACTGTATTCTGCAACAATGTACTCACGGTAATTGCATTGAAAAATGTGTGTGTGTGTTTGTGTTTGTGTGTGTGAGAGAGTGTGTTACCTGAAAAATTTGCTTTAGAGAGAAGAGTGCTCGTCTCAAGTCACGTCCATTGGAGTTATATAGTCTTTCTGCAGAGGGACAGACAGAAAAAGACACATAGATGGTTATCTGAGGTTAAGTGAACAAACATGGGAACGTATGCATAACCATAACGAATAAAACGTCTCCACCTTAAAGCTCTCGCACTCGTTTTTGCTGCCTTTTATGTTTGCTTGTGCATCTTTCATCTCTCGCCAGTCCTCATACTTCTCATTCCGATGAGTCGATCAATAAAACTTGTTAGCAAAACGAGCCTCAGCTGTGCAAAAAAGCTGCGCAACAGCATCCGAGATGTGAGAGGAGAGGTGCGATTCGATGGAACCAATCACCCCACGCGGCTGTAATCACCTGAGGCAGGCACTTCATCAAACACTTTCATCGCGTCCTCGCTCGCGGAGCAACACGTGCATGATCTCTCTTTTCCCCTCTCTCTGACTCTCTCTCTGCTCTCTCTCTCACGAACACACACACACACACACACACACACACACACACACACACACACACACACACACACAGTTGCAGTGGTGATTAGGGCTGTATTGGAATGTTAATGAGCTGCTGGCTTGGCTTCATCGCTGAGGTATTCAGGTCACGACACGGAAACCACTCAGAACTAAAGGCTCGTATATCATGATGCTGATATTATTGTTATTTCTATCCATGAACACAAAGACGTTATCGCTGTACTTCTACAACAGGCCTTAAAATGACTGGCAACAGTCTATAATAACCATTGTTTAAGGTCATATGATTATATAACATATTAGTTATTATATAATAGTTGATTAAGAACAAGTTTTACAGCAATAATGGTTAGTTAAGATTACTAACTTTCATCTAGTTATTTCTTAAAAGTGAAATAACCCAAATTTGGGTAATTAAAACCTAAGATGAATGACAAAACATGACATGTTACATCTGTGTCATTATTTAACAAAAATTAAGCCAAAATGCAGAGACGGTGTGTGGAAAAACTAAATGCACTCTTACTGTTTCCATAGGAATTAAGAAGGTAAATAGCAGCCAGGTGCTGCTAATCAAATGAACTTGATTAACTGATTATCAGCAAGCACCTCTGTAAAAGCAGTATTTTGGCAGTTTGCTGTTTTGGAGCATTCAGATGTGCGTCAACACAACGCCAAGTAAGGACAACATCAGCAATGATCTTACAGAAACAGTTGCTGCTGCCAATTAATCTGAGAAGAGTTACAAAGTAATTTCCAAACTGTTTGAAGTCTAATAAGAAAAAATATTAAAAAGTGGAAAAACATTCAAGACAGTTGCAGATCTCCCCCAGGAGTTAATGTGCCAGGAAAATGCAGTTCAACACCTACGTCTCAGACTCTACAGGCTTCACTTAACATGTTAACATTTTTAAATGTAAAAATTCTTGACAGTACAAATAGAAGAAGACTGAAAAAGTATGGCTTGTTTTTAAAAATTGGCAAGAGGAAGTCTCTTCTCTTTAAAAGAACATATGTGCACATTTGTAAAGGTGTATTCGAACAAATCGCAAGACTTCTGGAGCAATGTCCTTTGAACAGATGTGAAAATGTTTGGTTATAATGCACAACACCACGTTTAGAGTAAACCGAAACGCAGCATATCATCACAAACATACCAGCTATCAAGTACTGTGGTGCAGGGGTGGTGAGCTTGTTTTTTGCAGCCATAGGACCTGGACACCTTGCAGTTATTGTGAATTCTAACCATCTGTCTAGCACTTAACGGTTGGCTGACATTGGTTAATGCAACAAGACAATGAACCCAAGAAGAGCAGCAAATCTACATCAGACTGGTTGAACAAGACAAGCTCCAGAAATGATTGTCGTACACAGAACAGCTTTATTACGAAACAAAAGCGCTCTCCGCCTGTGAGCAAAAACAAAACCAACAAACCCCCCAGCCTTTCCTATTGGTCAAAAAATGTATCATGTTGACCAATCAAAAAAATGATATGGCAACATGGCATTTAGTTGTTTAGGAAGGGGGGAAGTTTTAGGAGTGACGGCTGTGTTTTGAGATGTGAGAGATTTGCAACGTTTAGCGCAAATCTTGTGTAGTTAGTGTGTAGTGTAGTCAATAGTTTTGTTGTGTGTGTCAGAACAACGAGGCGACTGCTGAATGTTACAGGAGTCATACATCTCCTGTTGTCAGGCCTGCAGGTATCAGGCTGTTGTTCTCCTTTATCTCATAGTGGACAGAAATTATTTTTTGGAGTGGCACAAATAATTTGTGTGGCATCAGATTTGATGCAGAACAGCTGATTGTTCTGTAAATAGTTTGAAATGTTTATTTAAAAAAACGCCTTGGCTGCATTTTTAGGTAAACAGCTGCAAAAAACTTTGTTGTTTGCATAACTCAGTTACTTTTTTGAAGAAGTAACTCTATAATTAATTGCCCAACAGTGGTCATTATATACTGTATTTTGCAGACAGAGAGTTACAGGACTCTCTCCCAGACCACAGACTCATACTCATAATACAAGTCAGAGCTTTATTTAAAAAAAGAAAAGAAAAATAAAGTTTTGTTTTCAAAATTGGAGTTCAAGTTCTTTTTACTTCCAATAGTGTTAACATACGGTACTACACAGGTCATGAACAAGATTTTTTTTTTAATTCTCAGTGTAAGTGGGCTAAAGCAGTTAATTAAAAGTAGTCTAACAAATGTAAATGCTGTAATTTGATTATTTTAATAAACCATGCAACTTGGATGGAGTCGATGCTGGCGTTGATCACAGTGCACACGTCTGCCGTCGCTCACAGTGGTCCAAGGGACCGCTCAGAGAGTATGTGTGTTCGCTCAGACACATGAAAAATTAGAGGGAACATTGGGTGGGACATCAAAAAAAGCTGTCCATAAATGATGCCTGTAAACTTCAAAGAACTTTCTTTTTCATATAATTTGACATAGCAAAACAACAAAAACATTTGTTTTTACCAAATAAAGGGCCAAAGATGGGCAGTTAAATTCAAAACATGGCACACTTAGTCCTGACTTATACTAAACTCCAGAAATTAGAATGTTTTAGATAATGTTACCATTTTTTTTACAAAGTTCCAGATGTATCTGAAGTTGCAGTACCGTCTTTTTTATTACTTTTGCATTGACTGTATCATCACTGGATTACAGACCTGTAACAATGAATGAAGAAGAGATTAAACTAACATTTACTTTCTGTGAACAATCACACTGTCATTGACAGCCTCTCTTTGGAAGGTCATGCATGATGATGAAATAAGCACCACGGAGGCCGGATGTCAGTGGAAATTTGTTGTAGTCCTCTGTTGTAGACTGGACAAAGATAGATGTACCCACAGTGACTTCATCCGTTGATTAGTGAAATCTGGTTATGAAGCCTTGAGATGAGTATGTTTGTGCCCTGATGGGCATTTAAAAAGATGTTTTAAGAACTTTTATGTTAACCTCACTTTTCAGACTTGGATTCATCATTTACACTTCTATGGCTGCAGTTCATCACAGATATATGTTTGTTTGCACAGGTAAGCAGAGTACCCTCTGTAGTGGAATAACAGTACAGACATATTACAGTCTAATATTCCTTGTGATTCATTAGGGATTTTGGGGGGAGGGGGTTCTTCTCAGGGCATTATGTGCTGGGATTGAGTTTTCATGTGTGCTTTATACTGTCTGTATGCTAAAGGGTTGAGAAACAACAAATACTACTGATGAAAACAATAAAGTTAAATATTTGGCAAGACCATGCCATAAAGATGCTTTGCTAAATGTTACTCTTGATTTTCCACCTCTTATGACTACAGACTGCAAGAATAATTTTCCTAAGTGCTCTGTATTAAGCCCAACATCTGTTTATCTGGGTGTCCATACTGTCCCTTTGTGTGCATAAACAGTTGTGCATTCCACTGTGTGTCAGCAGGGGGTTTGGAAACCCGTGTGTGTGTTTGTGTGTTGATGACAAATCCTCCAATTCCCTTCTTTGGGGGGAGGCTGGGTAAAAAGGTATAGATGTAAGAGCAGGGACAGACAGGGTGCACGCCCCCTGATGTGGGACCGCACGTGGGCCAGCCTGGAGCCTTCCAGTCTGCCCTGCTGTCTGGAGCTCAGTGGTAACCGTTGCTAAGCTAGGCAAGGCTAACCCAAGGCCAGGGTCAGAATCATTATCATTCCTCACGCAGGCGAAGAATTACAGGCCTGTGTCTCTTTTCTGTGAGATCAGCATTCATGAAATACTATATATCTGTGATAGTCTGCAGCAGAAATACTCAAGTCAAATCATCCAGCGATTAGTGCTAAGAGGCAGTCAACATACAACAATAAAAGCATGCGAGAGAACTGAGTACACATATACAAGTGAATGTTTTTATACATAAGAAATCACATGCATGGGTCTGCTGTAAGTTTATCTAGTTTAGGCTGATTTCCTGGTTCTCCCTTCTCTAGGTTTCCCTGGAAATCAAGTGGCCACTTGATGTAAAAATGTCTGACTCTTGAGTGTCACGGTTCATTCAGACAGTCACATGTAATTTTTGTCATCAGGCCACTAATGGGCCTGTTGGTGTAACCTTTACCAAATGTCTGCCATGCATCAGGAGCATGTCAGCAGCACTGATAGGACTGGACTTGTTTTGAACTATTCTGGTGTTTTGCAAAAATGAACGTTGGCTGTTCCAAATCAAGCAAGAGCATAGATACATGGACGGTGTCTGAGTGTGGATCTGACACATTACTATATTAAAATATCAAACTTTCATTCAGTCATTTAGAAACAGGGAATACAGGTTTTACAATATGAGCTGACTTTATGTTAAATGACTTTCCTGATCCTAAAGTTAGCTAATGCATAAAGGTGAAGTACAGGAAACCAGAATGTCAGTGACGTAGTAGCTCTTCCAGCTCATGACTCAAATCCAATTCATAGCTTACATTAATGTGTGAAGTACAGAAAAAACTAGTTGGCTGCACTGGACAAACTAATGAGAATTAAACTCTAGAAGGCTCGAACAGTCATCCAGGACAAATCATTTCATTAAAATCTGATCTGCTG